AACCAAAGGAAAAGGAAGTGGTCTTCCAGCTCTTACACAGATGCAAATTCAGCAAATTTACGTTATGCAGGCAAGCCCTAGAAATTGTGACTACACATACACGCACAAATATAAGGGTGTGCCTAGCACACGAAGATGTTGAAGATTCCTGGTGATTATAGAGCTTTAAAGAAACAAAAAGTGGTAAGATATCAAGCTTATTTCCCAAAACAAGAATCCCTAAGTGCAAAAAGATATGGCTTTATAGAAGTTTTGTGTATTCTAACAGTGCTACTGACTAAAAATACATGCAAAAATCATTATTAACACAAGTGTTCAACATTTAATTAATTTGGTCAAAGATTTCTTTTCACGTAACAGGATCCAATTCTTGACACACTTCCAACACTAGTTTAATTAAAGTTGACTGACTGGCACTATGACCATATCTGAAAATAAACATATTAAAACCTATTTGTTTCCATGTAAGAGTGGAAAAGAGATTAATTTCTTGAAGCACTCATCAGTCCTATTTATAGAGAGAGACTTGTCTTTTGTGAGTTTCTTCCAACAATACCCAGTTCTTGCCCGTCAGCCTGACCTCTGCCCTCCATAACTGCTATGCACAATGCAATTCCCAGAGAAATTAATGCCAATATGATACCTATAAATCACTGTACTTGGTATATAATGTGATCAGGGGGCATCATTAACAATGGTCATGTTGCTGATGGCTATCATAATACATTAATCTTATGCATAGGGAACGCAAAAGTAGGAGGTTCAAAAATAACTCCATTACTCACCACATTCCACTCAAAGCTGCAACTGAGTGAGACACCACTCACTGCAAGTGCTGTTACTATGCCTGTTAGGATTTCTGTTTTATTTTATATATTCAATTAGCAGGCATCAAACTCTAGTTTATATATACACTTGAACAGTTATATTTGTTGCCAAAGAGCTGGATTTTTTTGCAGGAACTGTTTCTTCCTAAGAGAAACTATCACACTTATAGTAATAGAGTTAATAAGTTAATAAGACTGTTTTAAGCAAGTGTTTTGATAACGCAAGAAAAAAAAAAAACAAAACACAACCAAAAAAACAACCTTGAAGGAATCTGAAACTGTTCAGGATTTTACTCCCTGAGAAATAAGGACTTTCACATTGTGGTCCCTTGCTGTTCGCACAAATAAGAGACAAAAATCCTCACAAATTTTCCAAGTATCTCCATTTTAATAATATACCTTTCTAGTGCAAAAACTGGCATTTGTAATAGTGTGACCGTTTCCATAGTCAAAGATCATGTTTGCTGCATGGAGGAGGAAATGATGAGTCTTTACTTTTACCTAATTGTACTGTGACAGAACATTTTTTTTTGTCCCAGTAGAAAAGGGAGAGCAGATATGCTGCAAAGACACAGGTAAAAGCTACAGAAAACTGATCTGAAATAAGCAACGAAGACTTTTTAAACAAACTGTCTACATCAAATGGCTTTTACTATCACAGAACCACAGAATCGTGTCCAGGTGCCTCATAGATGCCTCAAGCACACCCTACCAAGTTAGTAGCCCAGATGGTCAGTCCACAATCTACAACATTTGATATTGCTGTTCCACTCCAAAATGAAGATTTAAAGGAAGCACCTTCTTGCTACCCAAACAAATGAGGGTCTCACAGAGACAGGAACTAGTCTAGCCATGGGTTACTATCCTGCCCTTCAGCCCACACTGCCCAGAAGCCACTACTGTGAGACTATTTCCTCACGTAGACACTGTCTTGCAGGCAAATGTAAGCCAAGAATACCTTCCCCAGAACACTTCTGTGTATGCAAAGTGTTCAGACATCTGCAATGGTATTTTAGGGCTAATATGAAATGTCAATAAGTAAATGATTTTCAGCATTTATAAAGTAAAATAAATCACAATCCAATGCAATTCCATCAGAATAAGTTTAAGAAAAACCCAATGTTGACAAAATGTCTCTGAAATGTTTTTCAGAGCAAGTAGTGAGGGTGGCAGTACAATAGACTAACCAAAAAAATTCACCTACAGCAAACAGAAGCTTATGAGTGCACTGACTGTTCCTTAGGAAAAGGGGCCTTCATTCTGATATCTTAGTCATAAAGACATTTCAACTACTGTCTAGAAAATCTGAAACTACTGCTGATGAGTATACTGTCACAATTACCCAAAACCATGTTACAGACACACTCAACGCCAAAAGTGAGCCAAAATTACATAACAAAAAATTGGATAAGCTTAACTTTGATTCTAACTCAACAAAGCAAAGCATTGTGAAGCCTTCTAAAAATATGGTAACTGCACTGCGTAGGTCTGCATTTCCTTAAGTTTCATTATTCAGATCAGATTAATAATGTTTGCAGATAGACAGATAAAGATTTACTTCTTAAAATAACTTACAAGGAAAAGCAAAATGAAACATGACCATGGACATTTTTTTTTCTCCTTCATTCCCAGTGAATTGGGTGAAACAAGTTATGATACTTTTCAGAAAATTTTTGTACAAAGCAGACCTTCAAGAAAGGCAATTAATATAAAATTAATACATCATCAGTGAAAGCAATGGAAAGAAATTTAACTCTAAAAAGGCTGTGATTCAAGCATCGTGTGTTATTTTTACAAGGGACACAAAATTTACTTGAATGTTGTGTTTAGAAGTTCAAAAGATACTTTATGTGACCTTCAAAGCTTTATTCACGTAAATGCCCGTAGCACAGTACCACTTTCAAACAAAGCTTCTTACAGAATTACTATAAACCAATAATCAATAGAATTAGTAGACTGCCCAATACTAAATTTAGTAATATAAAGCTCAAGAGATGATTGCTCATTTTAATCCAACATGACTTTATCCAAGCTTAGCTGCTCAAATCCACTGAGAGTATTTACTACTTAAGGCCTTTATCAACATGAAACAAACTTAAGTGTTAGGATCTTGAAACGTGTTTCCATCACATGGTTGCTCTCCAATCACATGGTTGGTCTCACTCCAAAAGCCAGTTTAGGCAAAGTTCTAACATTTACAGAAAAGAAAATGCTCTACATTTCCTGATTTCTCCCCACAGCTCCTATGAAAATGGTAGTACAAGATTTCTGATGTCTGAGTGAGATTAACAAAAATGCCTTGATGTCACTAAGCCTTCTCTTTTCACACAGAACCTTCTTCTTTTTCTTTAAAGCTTCATAGAAAGGACATTGTTCTCCATCTTAACAAGGAAAAGCAAAGGAAATCAAGTTTGTATCTATGTGGATTCTCAAACCCTGTTACTTAGAAATTTGAACTAATAGCAATCATATATTAATGATGCATGTAAGGACCATCTGGAGGTGAGCTACCTGGTCCAACCTTGCTCAAAGTACAGCCAACTTCAAAGCTGAAGCCACGGTTTTGATCAGTTTAATTAGGATGACACCCATCCTTTTATAATTTTAAGGATATATATTCTACAGCCTATTTAGGCAACCTATACCAACCTACAGCAATATTACCTGAAAAAAAAATCCTAACATCCTAAATCCAACTATCACTTCCAATATAGCATGTTATATTATCCCCCTCATCCTTTCAACAATGTACCAGTGTGACCCCATCTTCCCAATAAGCTCTCGAGTCTGCTGAAGAGCAAAACTTTGTGACAAAAATTACTGGTTTTTTTCTGAAAATCTTCAAATAATAATATGAAGATGGCTAATTGATTTTATACAGAAGCCTTTTTTAATCAAATAATGTCATAATCTATCTCGTTCTAGCATGGAGTATTCCAGTATGAAAAAAACAGAATATATGCAAGAGAGATCCTATAATCCATTTCTTAAGATTAAAAAACATGGAAGAAATCCAGCTGTTTGATGTCTTAACTCACTTCTCCAAATGCATTACCCTAGTAGGAAAGATCTGGAACACAGATACTCATTCCTTGGTATTAATTTCCCTTACATCACAGAGAGTACTTGTATGCACAAAAATAAGCTCAATGCAATCTACAAGTACAAGCACAACTTCTTGTGACCTTTTCTGTCACAATACTGTTCTGAAGGTAGAAGCACAAA